ATCTATAAGTAATGTCAATCTGGCAAGCTTTACGGTATCACTAGAAATTGCAAAAAAAGGCAAACCACTCATAGATGGTGAGTATGTCAAAGCCTGCTTCATAAGTGTATCTGAAGAACTGTTTAGTGATTTCAAAAACAAACCAGAAATCTTAAATAAAATCTAAGATTTGCCACTATCCGCTAAAACAGTATAAGATAGACTAGCTAAAATATCTTCAAATGTAACATATTGGCAGGTGGAAGATATTCAACTTTCTTCCGCCCTATCACTTGCTATAGATGAGTCTTGCGATGTAAAAGATACGGCACAAGTTGCCGTTTTTGTCAGGTATATGTCTTCCCAAGATCCCAAAGAAGAACTTCTGGGATTGCTACCGCTCTCGGGACAAACTTGAGGGGAAGATATAGCGCATGTCGTGCAAAAATGCCTTGAAGACAATGAGATCGATTTAAATAAAATCGTTTCAATAGCAACTGATGGAGAAAGAAGTATGACGGGAAAAAATAAAGGAGCAACAACGATTTTTCAAAGCAAATTAAATCACGAAATTCTTAGGTTTCACTGCATAATAAACCAAGAATCGCTTCGTGCCCAAACATTTCCAGCCGAAATAGTTGAGGTCATGAATTTGGTGATCAAGATTGTTAAAAGCATCTTGTCAAAAGCACTCTACCATTGTCAGTTTAAAGAATTCTTAAACGAAATGGGGGCTCATTATTTCGACCTCCTTCATAATAAAGTGGCTTTCCAAAGGTAAGGTATTGAAACGTTTTGCTTTGTGCTTGAATGAAATAAATACATTCCTAAATGAAAAAGACATAAATCACCCTGTATTAGGGAATGACAAATGGTTGCAAAAATTTTACTTTATGGTGGATATCACAGCAAAATTAAATGAGCTGAATTTAAAACTGCAAGGAAAGGGAAACCCAGCCTATGTTTTGGTGGAAGAATTGGTTTGTTTTGAAGAAACATTAATTCTTTTTGCAGAAGATATTCAGAGCGTTAAATTACTTTATTTTCAATTTCTAAATCAATATCGCGATAAAATCAGTGCAACTGTTAACAGTTACAAAAAAAACTAAAGATGAATTTGCTGGCAGATTTGAACAATTCAAAACCAACAAAACTACTTTAACATTCATAGTAAATCCTCTTAACACAAATAGTAACGCAATTCATGTTGAGTCATTTGGAATTCATACTGGATCATTAGAAATGCAATTGATCGATTTAAAAAGTAAATCTTTGTAGAGTGGAAAATTAACAGAATTGAAAAACAAGTTGATAGAGTTGGAAGTCCAGAAATGTATGTACGTAACGCAAAAAAGTGAACAGCTTTGAAAGAAATGCCGCGAATTGGGGGACTTATATTCGACGTATGGAATAGTCTTCCAGATTGCTACAGTGAGGTGAAGACGTTGGCATTTGGAGTACTAACTACCTTCGGATCGACATATTCTTGCGAGCAAGCGTTCCCTTGCATGAATATAATGAAAATTAAACTAAGAAGCCAACTAACAAATGAAAATTTAGAGTCGTGTTTGAAATTTAAAACAAGTTATGAGCCAGATTTATCCACTTTCTAAAACAATACAAAGCCAACGATCCCATTGAGATTATCTGCTCAACTGTTTGTTATTGAAGTGCAAGTTAGTGTTATAAGTGAATATTTAGTTGTTTTAATTTTTTACTTCTATAAATGAAATGTATGAAAATATATATGTGGAAAACACTATATTCCTACATATGAATAGATTAATTTTTTTTTATCAAAGAACTTTATTTATTCGAGTACTATTTAATATTTGACGAAAAAATTTGTGGCTCTTACGACTCAAAAGATTGCCGACTCCTGATCTAGTGAGTTGTAACTGTTTCTTCGATTTCTTCCAGATGGAGGAGTCCGGGCTAGGCAGGATTTTCTAATGGCTGGATTTATATCCTCGATGCAGTGATAACTAGTGGGTTCTTGGTTATCTAGTCGAAGATCCATAGTTTTCCACGTATTACAACAACTGGAAATTAATTATTAAGACACTCCGGCATATTTTGTTAATATACCGGATTATTTTATTTATATTTATGTTAATAAATGTAATAATTATATTTGTATTAGTTCCTTGCTGGATAATTATAATAACATTGAACACAAACACTTTTTTCAGTTATTGTGTTTATGTTTCTTGATAACCAACGGTTTATACTAATTAAAGGTACTAATTACAAAAAGATAACGACATTATACACAATTACTTCTTCGATACTTGTTCCCAACTCGAAGGTTCGAATAGAGAACTACGAACGCAGAGAAGCGACACTCCTTTGATCTTGCGTGGGCAAGCCGCCAACGAGTGAAAATGACAGGAAAGCACCTTATTTACTAATAGTCAGTGGGCATATTACACAATATAAATTCTTAAATAAAATTGAGCATTTATGTTGACTTTCAATAAATATGAAATATTGCACTGAAAAAATAATTACATGCAGAGCCGGCTTTTGTTGACATTCTAAATGGTGGAATTATTTTTGATTTACAAAAGGTTGCAAATACATCGCACAACGCAAAGTAATGGTGAAAATCGTATTGATGGAACCATAGATGAAAATACTTTTTTGTTTATTCTGATGTTGACATTGATAATACAATAATACACCGATTCTTTTTGGCTTGTGTTGATACAAGATATAATTTGTTCGTCGTGGAATTTCCTAATAAATTATCTTTTATAATATAATCGAAAAATAACAAAGCCATTGTAACTGCCACGGAAATTTCACAAACTCTAAAAATTCCAATTCTCTTTGGGTGAGACTGAGAAACAAGAAACTTTATATTGATATCGATTGTTAATGTCTTGGAAACCTATTAAAATTACATTTTTCCTTTAAAGTCGAATATTGGAGTAAACGATATTCGACTAAAACGAATAAAAAATCAAGAAGTAACTATTGTACGAGTATATTTCTATAAATATAAAAATGTAATAACCTAAAAAATAATCAAAAAAGTATTACGAATCATTACAAGAGAGCATTAGGATGATAAAACGAATTTATATTATTGTCATTACACATGATTCAGATATACATAGTAAATCCAGACTTTCAGTTTAAACTAATATTTCGATACAATTTATTTTGTTTACAATAGATTCAGAGTTAATACATACGATTTTTAGTTGATTGGTATTGCCTTTAAAATTATTTGTAGTATCTAGTTTGCCTAAGCCGGATTTGTAACAATTATTTCTGGTTTTGTTGTTAACTGTGGTTAGTACAATTCTTATACTTTAGTCAAAACGACGAACCATTGAACCTTCAGGCCAGATACTGGGATTGAGAACTTCATTTTTCAAGTTTTAATATTTTTTATTTGTAATTCCCATTTAAATATTTATTCCCTAAATATGTTGTGTACTCCGATCCATATATTTGGTCTTTGTTATTTATATTTAACGAATTAAACATTGACAGACAACTTTTGTATATAGCAAAAAGTAGATGAGCATTTAGTTTTTTCATAATTTAATGTAAGTTTGTTTGGTGAAAAAGACAGCAAATATTTGAAGTTATGTTAATGTAAGTTTGTTTATTTGCAATTATGTTTTTATTTTGAAGTCTTGTTCTGTTGTAATTTTAAGATTTTCCCAATTTTCGATCTAATTATGTTTCCAACAATTTTTAGTTTGAGCATTTTAGGAATTTCTTTGTTTCGTTTAAATAAAATATTCTCGTGTATAAAACCCTCTATATATTTTTATTTCCTAAAAATACTATATTCGTATTGTTGTCTGCGAGCGCTTTCATACCAGTAGGCCAACATCTGTGTTGATTTTTTGACCTGAGCCTTCGGAGACAATAAATTTAATGTGTGTTCGTAGTTCTCTGGTTTTTATTCTGAACTATCCCTTGGCAAACCAAAATTTATTTTTTTATTGCTTCACTTAACTAGAGCTCGGGCGGACACGTCGGTGTCGGCTTACTCAAAGTCAAATTAATACTATTATGTAATAACTAATAATAATTACAAAGCAATAGTAATTACCTGTTATTATACTTAGGAAATCTAAATAAACTTATTCCTTTTCCTGTCACAGATGAACATCCGCGAAACGCACAACAATAACCAGAAGACATTTTAAATACTTATAAATTAAACTTTTAACTATAAACTATAACTATAAACTTATATATTTAACTTATATATTTTAACTATAACTATAAACTTTTAACTACTAAGTAAATTAGATAAATGGTCAAATACACTTGTATAGTCGAGAGTTTACCACAGATGCCTACGGACTATCGTAAGCGACTAAAGTTGAAGAAAACGCACGTATTTTTGACAGTAAAGCACCTTATTTGGGTCATGCGTATACAGAAAAGATACACGAATTTCGGGCCTCGTGTCGCTTCTCTGTGTTCGTAGTTCTCTGGTTCGAACGAGACTGGATCCATGCGCCATGCTTGTGAGAACCGGGACTATCAGCGTTATGTGCAGACTTAATTTTAGTTTTTGAGATAAACATCTGTTAGCTAGCCCATAATAGTACCAGAGAACTACGAACGCATAGATAGTACCTGCTTTCATAATTATACGTCTTTTTATTTATCCTGATACGTTATTGGAGTGGAGTTGTTTGCCGAGATAGATGAACTTTCTCACAGCTTCGACGTTTTGGTCGATAAACTGGATTCACTTTTTGTTGCCGCTATTAGGTATTCCCTTTGCAGTTTTTACATTACGCCGGTCTTTACTTATGATTTATTTTTGATAGGTAATTAATTTACAAAATTATAAAAAAATGTTTGTTCATCAAAGGCAACGCAGACCAATATGTAAGGTATATAGATAAAACTACAAAATCTTATATCATAAAAAACAATATTTATTATTACAAAATATATTAGTTATTCTTTTAAGCGTAGTTTTACAGTAACAGTACATTTGAACAGGAGAATCTACAGCACAGTAGGAGGTTGGAGCATACCTGTCCAGTCTATTGATCTCGTTGACTGACATGTTCTCTTTATTATTCTGGTAGGACACTTTTACCGTTGCTTCAAAATTGGCCTCTGGATTGGTGATTATACCAATCAAATAGTTTTCTTCTACTCCTGGTTTCATTTCTAAATACTTTACATGAGAAATTTTCTCTAGAGAATAAGTCGCACAGCCTGTCGAGACAGATCCATAGGATCTAATAACGTTATTCAAATGTTCGACGAAAAATTTCCCAATTTTTTGAGACATTGGAAGATCTTTACTGATTTTTTCGTATCGAGAACAAGTACAGTAATGTTCCGGGATTCCGGCTTCCTTGCAGGTCCTTTCTGGAGATACTGGCTTGAACAAAGAATGACATGTACTGCAGGCTTTGGCAGGCTGTACAGTAAAATTTGGATTGGAAAAAGATAGTACGTCTTGGAGAGTCATGTAGATGTCGTATGGAGATATCAGTTGTTTGGAGTTTTCTGCAAGGATTTGATATTTTTCTGCATGCGTCGTCCTAAAAAATAAATATGAATTAAATTATAACATAAACTACGAGGTCAAAGTTATTGCATTGTTAGTTATTAAACAAAGTAATTCAGATAAATTTTTGAGAACGGATACACCTTCTTCTTACGGTGCCTATCCGTTTCGGATGTTGGTGATCAACATGGCTATCCTAACTTTGCTTGCTGCTATTCTAAATAGTCCGGTTGTCGATGTATTAAACCACTTTCTCAGATTTGAAGCCAAGATATTCTTCTTCTCCCTGGTCCTTTCTTTCCAAATACCTTGCCCTGAAGAATGAGTTACAACAAGCCGTATCTCTGTTCATTCCTCATAACATGGGATCCACCTAACAACACACGATCCACCCTTGAAATTCTTAAAATACGTCTGTAATACCACATCTCGAATGCCTCGAGTTTTCTCGTATAATAACGTAGAAAATATATAGCATCTAATGCGAGTGATTTTGGTAGCAAGTGGTAAATCGCGACTTCTGAAAAGAGACTTCATCATTATGAATTCTGATCTCGCTTTTCCTATGCGTTGTTTTATTTCACTGGAGTGATCCCATTGGCTGTTAATGTTGGTACCAAGGTATTATATGTGTAGCTGTCCACTCTGTAAATTTGATGTTGATTAACCAAAAGCTGTGTATATAATATTTCGCGCTTATTGACTACCATGTACTTTGTTTTCTTTGTATTAAGTCCGTGTTCTCTACTTATATCTGATATACGCGACATTATTCTTTGCAGACTTTTCAGACTTTCCAGACTATCTGCAAAAACTACTACGTCGTCGGCATATCTAATGTTGTTTAGACGCATTACGTTGACTAATACGCCTTCTTGTAGTTCTCCTAGCGCTTGGTCGAAGATATATTCAGAGTATATATTAAATAACACCGGGGACAGAATGCATCCTTGCCCCACTCCTCTATCTATGGAGACTCCCTCTGTCAATTGGTCATCCACTTTAATATTGGCTGTTTGGTTGTAATATAAATTATAGATGATTCTCAAGTCCCTATCATCTAACCCCACTTCTTTCAACATGTTTATAAGTTTATCATGCTTTACTCTATCAAATGCCTTTTTGTAGTCGATAAAATAAGTATACACATCACAGTTAACATCCCTGCATCTTTGCCTAAGCACTTGGACAGCGAATAGAGCTTCTCGGGTGCCTAAGGAATCGCGGAATCCAAACTGCGTCCATGACAGTTGTTCTTCGCATTTTTTATATATTTTGCCGTGTGTATCACTTTCAAGAACGTTTTAAGTAAGTGGCTCATTAGGCTAATTGTTCTGTAGTCTTCACATGTCTTGGCATTTACTTTTTTTGGTATGGTCATGAAGGTCGACTTTAACCAGCTTTGGGGTATTTTTGCAGTTACGTATATGTTGTTGAATACAGTTGTTATCCATTTTATTCCCTGTTCATCCATACGTTTTAGGAATTCTGCACAAAACTCGTCAGGCCCTACCGCTTTACCACCTTCAGTTCTTTTAATAGCTGACGTGACTTCTTCAATGGTAATCGGGGGTCCTGTTTGGCATTCAGTGTCTTCAATGGTATTCTGTCTTTCATCTGCAAAAGTTACTTCCACATAATTCTTCCAAGTGTCTAGTTTTTCTTTCACAGTTAACAGTCGTTTGCCTTGGTTATCTGCCAAATCCCCAACTTTTCTAGGTTTGTATAAGCCTGCTGCTTCTTTAACTTTTTTGTGCATATTAAATGAATCGTGTTTATATTGCAATTGCTGTATTTTCGCACACTGTTTTCTTAGATGTGTATCCTTAGCTATTCTAAAAGCTTTTTTGATCTTTTTATCGATTCTTTTGTATAATGACATCTTTGAACTTTCGCCTCTCTTCCATCATATCTAGAATCTCATTTGTCATCCACGATTTCTTCTTTATTTTTGGTGGTTTGAGAAATTTCTCTCGTATGTCTTTTGAAACTGTATGTAACTTTTCTAGCTCCTGGTCCATTACATCCGATTGAATAAAGGTATTCAAATTGTTCTGTATATACCGCTTTACACTATGTTATGTGTGTTGGTCTTTTAATAGCTTGATGTCCAATTTTGGATTGACACTATGTCTAACCTTCTTTAGCCTGAGCCTAATTTTGCCAATCAGTGGGTTATGGTCTGATTTGATATCAGCTCCTGGGTATGTCTTGACTGATGTTATGCTGTTCCGGTATCTTTTATTAATCAGAATGTAATCTATTTGATTTCTCACTATGCGGCCTGGAGTATCTTGAGGTGATTTCCATGTATATAATCTTCTGTGTGGGAGTTTGAAGTAGGTGTTAGTAATCACAATATTCTACTACAAATTCATCCAGTCGGTCTCCTCGCTCATTTCTTTCTGCAAGTACAAATTGTCCTATGAATTCTTCCGATTGTCCCCTACTAATTTTGGCATTTAGATCACCCATAATCAAAGTTAAATTCTTTCTGGGGAGGCGTTTTAAGGTGTTCGATAGTTCGTTATAATGCTTCACTTACATAGGATACACCTATGATTCCTATATTAACTGTTGTAACTGCTAGATCAAACGGAAAGACTCGGGAATTAAGCTTTATTTTTATGGTTCGATTAATTCGTGCCAGTTATGCGGCTATTTCGTTTCGTATTTCCTCCACTTAAGCAGCTCTTGATCTTTTTGATTATGTCCCCAACAAATTCGTTTCGTACTTTGTTAATTGAGAATTTACAGTTTTTTTCTGTAGATTTTGACTAAATATTCCTTTTAAAATTACATTTTTGAATTCGGACTCCTGTCTAATTTTAAATGAGGTTATCGGCTTAGTAACGGGCCACTTTTTTACGGCAAGTTGTTAGCAGTTTGTCGCCGATAAACCATAGATTTTCGAGAGTACATGGAACACGACAGAAGCTGTTTTATCATTTTGTTGTTTTCCTCACTCGCACAGGTTCATCTATTACAGCAAGTTGTCAGTTTGTCGCTGACAAACCATAGATCTTCAAAGGTACAGAAGCTGTTTTGTCATCAGGTAACCATTAATCGTTTGTGGGTTCTACTTTATTTTATTCATCTTTACTGGGGCTACGCCGGTTCGTATACGGTTTAAAGTCCTATAAGTCATGAGGGTCTCTCTTCTTAAGGTGAAGATAGTTTTCTGATGGGTCGACTGGTATACAACGCAAAAACATTTTTTTGGATTTTAGTCTTAAGTGATTGGGTTTCCCGTTGTATAATAGGTGGTGTCCATTTTAGGTTTGTTTAAACTTTTCTATATGTTCAGTAGCTGTTTTACGTTATTTGGGCAGTGAGGAACCTTTGTATAGGAGGTTGAATGGGATAGATTTTATATATCCGGTTACTATCCTGTATGTTTAATTCTAGCAATGTCATCTTGTTTTGTGTGAACCGATCGATTTCAGACTGGTCAGGCGTACTTTCCTATTGAAAAATTGCATTGCATTACCCGACCAGTTATTCTTGCAAATATCAGGGCATATAACCCAGTGAATTCCAGCTATTTCATTAGTAACGTGTTTTTGGTGGCGACTTTTTATCTTGTATATGGTAATGGTGCTCATATGTTAAAGACCTGTTCAAAGTTACTCCGAGGTATTTTGGTTTTTCTGTGTGTTACAGGATCTTTTACTTTCATGTGACTTTTAATTTCCTTCTCGCATTGTGTGTATTTAGATGGAAAGCGGTTACTTGTATTTTTTGGGGGTTTAGGCTTGATGTAGTTTTCCTACAGTATTTGGATAAATTGCCTAGAGCAGCTTCGAGCTTTCTTTCGATGTTATGATGAAAGTCCTTTGATTGTACCGCTATAGCCAGTTCGTCAGTATATGGGTATACCTGAGTCTTTTGTGATTGGCTGGTCATTTGTGTATATATTGAACAGAACTGGGGAAAATACGTGTTCTAGGAGCAGGCCATTTCTTAATTTCTCCATATGCTTTTCTTTCCATGTCATATGGCGTAAAATCTCCTATTCTGTTAGCTTTAGCAGAGCAAAGTACACTCTAAATACTGATTGTTCGGCAATGAGCTTGGAATCCACTGTTTTCTATGTACTTTCGTGTATTTTAATGTCGTCTAAACCCGGCCATCTTGCTGTATTTCATGCATTGTATGCCTCCGTTTATTTTCTTGATTTTAAATGGTACGTTGTCTTGTTTATCAATGGGTTTGTGTTGGATTTTCCCTTGTGTTTTACCATTCAATAGCAGTTGTTGTGGTACCAACCGGTCTGCGGTAACGTTAATTATGTTCTTTCGTTCTGTAGAATACGTTTATTTTCTTGTGTTCTTAGTGCCTGAAGCAATGTTGTGTTGCATTCGACAGTCCTTTCTCTAGAAGTTTTGTATTCTTTCATAAGAGTTCCTGTTTTCTGTGTAGCACCAGCTATATATTATTGTTTACAGCCTGTGCCTGTGGATATGTTAGCAGTAGTACTAAAGTATAAATGGGATCCCGATATAAAGAAATAAATAGACGACTGGAACCGTCTAGGAATGTATACAATAAATGGAAGCAAATTATCTATAACCAAAAACTAAGCTTACACCTCCGAATTAGAGTTATTAAATGCTATGCTAGTCTAGTCATTTTGTATGGATTTAAAGCCTGGACATTAAAATTAAATACCATGAGACGGCTAGACGATTCAAAATATCATGGAAACAATACATTACGAATCGAACAGTATTAAACACAAATAAATAGAGAGTTAATACTTAAAACGATTAAGAAGAGAAAAACTTCGTACGTAGGCTATATTATGAGAAATGACAAATATAATCGGCTAAGAATAATAATTGAAGGTAAGATACAAGGCAGAAAAAAAGTAGGTAGAAGAACAATATCTTGGCTTCGCAATATCAGAGCTTGGAGGGGCATGAACATTATATAATAAATTACTAAGAGCGGCGCAGAACAGGGAATATTTTGATGTAGTGATCGCAAACCTCTTATAATGTAGTGTATTGGAAGAGGAAAAAATATCTTACCTTTTAGCGACTAATTTATTATTTGTTTGCATCTCTTGCTTACCTAAAACGTTCCGGTATCCAAATGTAAATGAACGGAAGTCTTTCTTCAAGCCAACCAGTAGGAGTCAGTCTTATTTTACCAAATCTAAAACCATGATCACTAAAAAATATTATAATTGAATCGTCCATATGTCCGTTAGCTGCCAACTTTTTAAAGTAAAGTTTAAAATCATCATCCATAGAAGATGGACAGTTGACGTTCTCGTGACTGAACGTGTTCATCCAGAATAGACCGAATCCTAAAAATATATCACTATATAATAAAAAGAAGAATCAAGCACAAATACTATATAAAGTAGATTTAAAGATATTTGAATGTGATCCTATATAAAGGTTAGATGTGAGAACAAAAGCATGATTCTAGACAAAACAAATAGCTTTAGAAAATCTTTTTGACTTAACTCTTCCATTGAAGGGGAACAGGTAGGATAAACCTTATTCATATCTCTTTAAGTAAAGGGAGGCAAATAAATGTAGTTTTCAAATAAACAACTGATTTTTTTACTACTAAGTCGCGAACTCTACAGTGGGTGATTACTATTTTAATGTGAATAGGCCACAATGAAAGTTTTTAAATAAGTTTCTTGACGTTTCAATTTCCACTTCGGAAATTGTTCTCAAAATTTCCGAAGTGAAAAATGAAAAGTCAATAAACTTATCATAAACTTTAATTGTGCTTATTCCCATTAAAATAAAAATTATTTTAAGATGTCATAAGAAAATAGCTTCAGAACTCTATAGTGGGTATGCAAATTCCCCCCAACTATTTTTGAATTATAAAACTACGCCATTTTGTAAAACTATTTTAAATGAGATTTTATGGCAAATAAGATATATAAAGGCTTGTTTTAATTTATTTTTAACGATACATATACAATCATCACTTTTATCCCCAAAATTTAAAAATATGCATTTCATTTATAAACAAATTCCGCCTGTTACTTTATAAATAATACAAACTGAACTAAGATATATTTATGTTCATCATTTTTATGGGATGTCCTAAGAGGTAAATTATACGAAGCCATGAATGAACTTAACATTCCCCATAAATTAATAAGGCTCGTAAAAACAACTATGAGTAAAGTGATCTGCAGAGTGCAAATACAAGGCGATATGTCACAAGCGTTTGAAACATATGCAGGGTTACGGCAGGGAGACGCGCTGGCGTGCCTTCTCTTTAATATAGCGTTAGAAAAGACTATAAGAGATGCCGAGTTACACAATAGGGGAACAATCTTTAATAAATCAACGCAGATTATGGCGTACGCTGACGATTTGGATTTGATTGCACGTACTACACGAGGACTTAAAGAGATGACTTCCACCTTCTTGACAGCCGCACAAAATATGGGCCTTAAAATAAACGAGGAAAAAACCAAAATGCTAGCATCTATTCCAAATAACAGAGATAGAGCTAGAAACGCCGAACAAAACTTCAGTATAGACCAATATAATTTTGAGGTAGTAAATAAGTTTACATATTTGGGTTCTCTCATAACAAACGATAATGACACATCTGAAGAAGTTAAACGGAGGGTACTGCTAGCAAACAAATGTTATTTTGGACTAAGCAAGCAGCTAAAAAACAGAAATTTAAGCCAGAAAACCAAACTAATAATATATCGAACACTCATCCTACCAGTGCTGACATATGGGTCAGAAACATGGACCATCTCCAAAACAGACGCAAATCTTCTGCTCGTCTTCGAAAGGAAGATACTAAGAAGAATAATGGGCGCATTCTGTGAGAATGGTATTTGGAGAAGGCGATATAATTTCGAATTGTACGAGAAGTATAAAAAAATAGTAAATGGTAGAGATGTAATATCCTTCATAAAAATAGGTAGGCTTAGATGGGCTGGACATGTGTCAAGAGCAAATGAAAATTACCCACCCAGACGAACTCTATTATCGGTCCCAGTGGGAAATAGGAGTAGAGGCAGACCCCGACTAAGATGGAGGGACGGTGTGGACGAGGACGCAAGGAAAATCGGCGCGGCAAATTGGCAACGGTTGGCGATGAACAGAAACGACTGGCGAAATAGACTGGGGAAGGTCAAGGCTCAACTAGAGCTGTAGCACCACTGATGATGATGATGATGATTTTTATGGGATTCAGTGACATAGTCATTAAAAGACCGTTATTAAATCCATATTGTAGTCGTCACAGAAATGAACTTGAAACGAGCTTTCACATGATGCATAGTAGTATCCACTATCATCTTAAGAGTCTCATTAACATTCAGCTCAGCAGGGTATTATTGTTCAAGGTGTGAAATTGTATAAACAAGTGATTATTTCATAAAACATTTCACCTGTTGTCCGGATTTGAATCGAATTCGTTTGAAATGCAATGAAACATTATGTATCCGATAGGAATATTCACTTTACGTTAAAAGTAGTGGCAAAACTGTTCGGCAAGTTCTTTGAAACACTTCCTGCGAATGAACGGAAATCGTGATGTTAGTATTCGATTCATGCAGAAGATTTTCTTATGGAACATCATCATTGTGGTAACGTGTTAAAAATCTGATCCGTTCTTCTTCTTGTTAATTCTTCTATCGGAGGTTGGCTATCATCACAGCTATCCGTACCTTATTGGCGGCTGCTCTGAAAATATCTACTGAGCTGCAACTAAGCCACTCCCTTAGGTTTCTTAGCCAGGAAATTCTTCGTCTTCCTATGGATCTTTTACCCTTGATTTTACCTTGCACTATGAGCGTTAATATCTCATATTTCAAACCTCTGGTAATGTGGCCTAAATATTCCAGCTTTCTTGTTTTGATGTGCTTTATGACATCGCAATCCTTTTGTAGCCTTCTTAACACTTCTGCATTTGTAACTCGTTGGGTCCATGGTATTTTCAAAATCCTTCTATAGCACCACATCTCAAATGATTCCAATTTCTTTATATTATCCACTTTTAGTGTCCAGCTTTTCATTCCATACAACAAAGTCGAGAACACATAGCATCTTAAGGCTCTTAACCTCAGCTCCAGAGGAAAGTCTCGATTAACAAACATTGTTTTCATTTTTATAATTGCTGGTATTGTAATTTCAATGCGTGTCCTTATTTCTCTACCTTGGTCATTGTTTTCATTTACCCAGGTTCCCAGATATTTGTAGTTATTCACTCTTTCTACTTATTTTCTCTCAATATCTAGCATTCCTACTGTATGTTGTTTAGAAATAATCATGCACTTGGTTTTCTTAACGTTTATTTGTAGTCCATATTTTATACGGACTTGATGTAATCTATTTACTAAGCGTTGCATTACTTCTAGACTGTCTGCAAAAACAACGATGTCATCTGTTGTTGAATTAGCAAATCTTATGTTGTTTAAGATTTTTCCGTTTATTGATATACCCTGTTATTACTCTGATATTGCTTTCATAAAAATAGCTTCGCTGCGCTGTACAGAATGAATAAAAATGAGGACAGCACGCAACTTTGTCTAACAGCTCTTTTGATTTCTATAGTTTCTGTATTGACATTTTCGATTCTAACCTTTGCTTTTTGAGCCAACTACAGATTGACAATAACTCGTATATATCGACTATCTACATTCTTTTCTTTTAACAGTTTTACGAATTTCTGATATTGTACACTACCAAAAGCCTTTTGATAATCTATAAAGCAGACATAGAGATCCTGGTTCATATTTAGTCGTCTTTGCGCGACAACGTTAAAAGCGAACAGAGCCTCTCTCGTTCCTAATCCTCCTTTGAATCCAAAGTGGGTGTCATCTATATCTTCTTTAATTTTTTGTATAGTCTTCCTTGTATTATTTTGAGAAATATCTTAAGTGTGTGGCTTATTAAGGAAATTGTTCTGTACTGAGAGCATTCTGTCGCATGTACTGACCTTGGTAGTGTCCAAATGACAGCAACAAATCTTCGGGTATTACTCCTGTTGTATATACTTTCTTAAACAGATCTAAAGGCGGGTCCAGACCAAGCAGACAAAACGAAAACACAATTCTGAAACAAAAACACGATAAACCGGCGACAAAATTTGTCGTCAAAAAACAAAACAAAATTGAGACAAACTGTCCACACCAGAACAATAACATATAAAAATAAAATTCAGTTGGTGACGTTGTTGTTGTGATTAGTGTTGGTTAACCATGTGGCGGTTTAATCAAGAAAAAATGAAACTGAAGATTTATTGCTAGCCGCAAGTTGTTTGTTTTGCTCTCATCATCATCCCCCAGGTTGCTAAAAAAAACCCAAACGTTTTTGGATTAGACCAAGCCTAAAAATGCGAGAAAGTTGTTCGATAGATAAACTGTTAATTCAGCTGCGCGCAGATGATATTGGACTAAGTGGTGAAATTCGATTAAGCTTCAACAATTTTTTAAGAATGTCCACCGAAGATTTTGAGAATCGGATATGCCTTGTTGGTCCTGCAGTTGCAAAAAGACATATTAACTTTAGAAATGCTATAAGTGTAAAAGAACGGTTATCAATCACTTTAAGATTTTTAGCAACAGGTGATTCCTACCACAGCCTAATGTATCTTTCAAAAGTATCAAAGCAATCAATATCTGTCATAATACCTGAAGTATCTAAAGCTTTAATTAACAGTCTTAGTGGTTATGTACAGGTATGTTTAACTTTTTTCATTACTATTTTTCTGTTAATACCCCTTAAAATAAACTCCATATTTATTGGTTAAATATTTAATACAAAAGAAATTGACGATAGGTACATACTACATATAAAATAATGACGAGTCTACTTGTTTTTACATTTATCAGTTTCGTTCATTTTCTTGATCTGAATACTGAGAAAGCTCTGTCAATACTAGATGGATGTGAAAATAAAGGTTGTGTGTTGGTGTTTAGTGGATTTAAGTAAGAATTTTGTGGGTCAGCGCTGGGTGGATTTGAGTATGAATGTTACGTGTTGGGTGGATTTAAGTATAAATGTTCAATGCTGGGTGGATTTGAGTATAAATGTGTGTCAATGCTGGGAGCAGTTGAGTATGAACGTGTGTCAATGCTGGGAGGATTTAAGTATGAGTTGTGTGTCAGTGCTGGGTGGATTTGAGTACAAATATTGGGGGTTGGAGTTGGGTGAACATTTGTGTTGAGACTAAGTGGATTTGAGCACGAAGAACCAGAAAATCCTGTGGAAAACCGAATAAATTCTTCCGTTTGGCATTGTACCTGGAATAGTGGTGGCTTCTTGGGTTCATTATAATTGCCCATTTCAGCGTCATATAATAGATTGT